AGATTTTTTTGTGTACTATGGAATAAAAGAGTGAGACAATGGATTGAATTGTGATGTATTGGGCAAAGCTGTGACCACGGATGGAGTCTTATTCGTTGGTATTGTATTAATTTTGTCAGTATTGGTGTTCTTGATTGTCTTCATCGTAATCGACCAAAAAAACAACTTACACAAATACATCCAAGCCAGAACCACCATCCATATGATACATGATCCCATACAACAATAACTAAGCGCTGCACGCATAAACGTTGTCTGTGTGATGCTCTACCGAGCATGATTTAAAGTAAATCAGTCGTGGTTCCATTGAATGTGTATGTTTTGTTTACAAAATACTGTATGACTGTAAATACTATATAGTATATCCGTCTAATTGAGGTTAAGTTTAATAAGAAATATTTTGACATATACATTTTTAGACACTAGTTTTGACATTGTGTAGACTGGAGATATTTAGTGGTCGTTCTGATCATAATGTTGATTTATTATTGTAGGAGTGAGTGGATGGGATCAGAGAATTATTTCAATCCACCCCTTGTCGAAAAGATGATTTTGAATTTATAACACAAGCAAAAACTTGTTTAATGTAATGTGAAACTTGAACATTCTATATTCTTAAACATCTATACCATATAATTGTAGCTGTGGAAAATGGTATTTTCAAGTTTGCATCAGTAATTGGTGTACACTTTACATCAAGAATGATTGCACACACCTTTTCCATCTATAAATATATATAATTGATGCATCTCTGTTGATGCAGGGTACAACAAACATCGGAAAAACTCTCGAAATGGTATACCAGAATCCTCTAGCTATTGGTCATAGCAAAAACCTTAATTACCGTATTTGAAATTTTTTCATGAGAAAATAGAACATAACATAAAACGAATGCATAGGCATATCTAACGGGTGCTAACTCGTTCCTATAAATGCCACTTGGAGCGTATTGACGAGTATTAGTGTATTTTGACATTTGGTGTTTCTTATTTTACGACTAATGCGTTTTGCGTCTACAAAGTTTTTGAAATTCAATTTTTGGGTCGATTCATCGTTAAAACAGATGCAAAACTACTAATGAAATTGGGTGAGATGTTAGTATAATCGTTTGGATAAAAAATATTTGACGAAATTATGCATGTAAACGGATAATAGTCTATTTAAAAAGATATGATTTGTTACGGTCGTCCGAATTCAAAGTGAGCCAGACCAAGAAATGACGTTTCAATCATTCAGTTTCTGTCGAGTTTCGAAACGGATAAGTAGCTCTACAGTGTTTTCTTCATTTAAATTTTTTTCAAGTCAATAAAATTGTTCGCAATCACATTTTTATTCCATTTAAAAGACAGTTCCAGAATAACCATCGTGGATTTTATATTGAAAAGATTTTTTTTTCATTTTTTATCGGAAATTTTATCGGATTCATCAGTCAACTGAGAGAGAAAAAGAAAAGGGAGAGAGTAAGAGTGTTAAGGTAAAGAGAGTCCAAATAACGGTGAGAGTTTTGAATTGAATTTATACTGATACGATAAATGAAAAATTTCATTTAAATGATTATTTCCATAATTTTGAAGTACACAATTTATTGAAAAATGACAAAAATATAGAAATTCTATTTACTTAATTCCAAATGCCCACACTAAAAGAGTTGCTTCATTCAAAATATCTAGTTGAGCTCTATGTGAATGTTCGGTCCGAGCCATTTTTCTCTGTCTGTTTTCCTATTGCTCTCTTTCTATATGTCTCTCTTAAATCAGTGTCAAAATACACGGCATTCAGGACGCCATATTGAAAACACCTCTGATATTGTAACACACTACATACGTACAGTCATATGCACCGCATAGTATAGTCCATCGTCATACAATCGGTACTCGTGCGATGTCGTAGTTTATGTATGTATGCTGAACGCCAAACAACAGCAAGCATGTGTGTTTATACCCATATATATTTATGAACTTCAAAAACTACGGTCGTCTGATGCTTAAAATGGATGCAAGCTTTCTGGTATAGCTGTTGTTGTCGTCGTAGTCGTTGTCCATTTTCACTTGACGACTTCACACACGAATTCAAATCTCATTTTATGTTTCTCATTCTTCTGGTGAAGTGATTTGTGTGCGTTGGGTTGCTAATGCAACTGTTCTGGTTTAAAAAGTGTCTTTGAGTTATAATCTTGACCGTCTGGTGCATGAAGTACGTGGCCTGGGAATCATAGATTCGTTTATATTTAAAACTATCTGTCGGAAAAGTTTGTAAGTTCGGCCGCGGTCTTAGAATCGTAGAGGATTTTTCCCAATTTGGAACAAGAGAGAAAGTGTTTTTTTGAATGAAGTGTTTTCACGTACAAACGAATCCGGTACAAACAATAGTGATTCAATTTTGCTTCTTTACATTTCCTTTTGCTGAAGTGGATAAAATCGGGAAAAAAATCACTCACTATGCGTGATTTAAATTAAAGAATTTGGATAAAAAAATTTAAATAATCTAATTTAATTTTGGTTCATTTTTATCTAAATTATAACTTAACTAAAAATTTGGAAGTGACCGTACTAATTTCATCGTATGTCATATCTTAATATAAGTCAAATCAATTAGTTGCTTTATGTAATTTAGATTTCGTACATTAAACAAAAAAATGATCTAAATGCTCTTATGAATTCTGATTTTTTAACAGTTTGCATCAACTTGGAAAAAATATTTCCAATTATTGACATATTTAATTACACGGGAAGATTTTTGAAATAATGGTGCACGTTGAACGCTACCAACCAGAAAATTTACGGAATGGTAGATCACGGGGACCAAGTCCAAATGGACACAACGGTTCACCTGACACCTCCGATGATGATTGTGAGTACCTAATATTTCATATATTGTTAGTCGTTACATGACATATGTATGTATAAAAGAAGAGAAAGATTAAGTATTGATCATAATACTCCGTTCTGAATGCAAGGCAAAAATAATGCGAAATAGTTTTTACCAATCACCCAAAGAATGTTTGTTCAAGATAGCAATGAAAAGTAGTTAATGATTTTATTACTATACTAATATGTGTTTGTTTTAAATTTCAGCAACTAAAAATGCAAAAGGAAACAAGTCGAACAAATCTAAGAGTGAATATGAAGGTAAGAACTTTATATCATATACCATATACTTTTGTGATTATTTCCACATATTTGGAACGGAAAAATAACAGAAAATCAATTAGGGCCCGAAAAAAAGATCGACTTCTTTGAAATTCTGCGATTACGTCATGCGTCTCAAGTATCAAAAATCTTTATATTTTTATGTGATGAAGAAATAATAATTGAAAATAATAGCAAAGTATTGTGCAAAATTCTTAGAAAGAAAACATTGAAGTGGGCAGATTGCGGGTTCGTTTCAAATGCGAAATAATTTGCTGTATATACACAAGTGGTAACTGGCAATGCGAGAGGTCGTTTGCTATAGAGAACCAAGAAACTACGGTTATCCGAAGAAAGTGTCGTTATAACACACTCAGTGAAGTATTGTATCAAATAGCTTTGTTTTTATAGAAATGCGGTAACAACGAAAATTTATTACCTGCATCATTCTATGGACTTTTACGTATTTAAAGCAATTTATATCAAAATGTTGATGGAATGTGAGATTTAATGAGAAAATGACAACAGTTTTTGGTAACTTCTTTGGATTACCATAAGTCCTTGTGCTATATTGATTTTCTGCTATCGATCCGTATGATTGTTTTATTAATTTAGCTCTAAATCTACAATTCGTTCAAGTAAATTACGTTATTTTTTAAATTCAACAGAAAAAATTCGCGTTGGCAAAGATTATCAAACTGTGTGCCCAGATTATATTCCACCACAGGATCGTAAATTGGAATCACTGAACGACAGAGCCCTTCTGGTATGGTCACCAACAAAAGATATTCCAGACAATAAACTCGAGGAGTATATTAGCGTTGCAAAAGAGAGATTTGGATATAACGGTGAACAAGCATTAGGCATGTTATTTTGGCATAAACACGATTTGGAACGCGCTGTCTTGGATTTGGCCAATTTTACACCATTCCCCGATGAATGGACCGAGGAAGACAAAGTGCTGTTTGAACAAGCCTTTCAATTTCATGGCAAAAGTTTCCATCGGATACGTCAAATGCTGCCCGATAAATCAATTGCTAGTTTAGTAAAATATTACTATTCATGGAAAAAGACACGTAGTCGAACTAGCGTTATGGATCGCCAAGAGAAAATGAAAGCAAAAGAAGGATCCGAAAATGGTAGCGAAAATGGCAGTAATGATGACTCAGATACTGAAGATAAGGTAGGTTCCATTTGATTTTCATAAATCGAAATATCAGCAAATAATATAGAGCAAGGTTTATTAGTAAATTTATTGATTATTTATGTTTGTACGATTGAAAATTATAATTGGTGTGAATACTATCTGTAATGGCGCAGATTTGGAATGAATGGTCTTTGGTGTGTGATGTGAATGTTTCAAACATAAAATGGATTTGAAGATATCATTTTTCAAATGGTTTTGTTATGAAAGCCTCTCCCGAAGTTTTTGCATTTTTATTAGTATTATTATATTATGGATTTTTTGCACCTTTGTATAAATCAGAGTGAATATGTGAATTTGAAAACATCATGTTTTTTATTGTTGCAATCAAAAGAGCAAGATAAATTGTACTACTCTTTTATTTTAGAATTATTTTTATGATCGATTGAAAGCCAACAACCGCACTAGTCAACTATAACAGTAACCAAAAGTCCAAGCAATTTATTGAATTTTTTTTAACGGGACGTTTATTTATTCAATAAAGAATCGGATACGGTCGAAATTTAGTGAATCATTTGGAGAAAAACCATCCCAGCAAATCAATCACAAATCAAACTGTTCTCTCTCTCTCTTTCCCTTTCTCTTTCTCTTTCCGTTCTGCTTTTTCCACTTTTTTTGTCCTCAAAAATTCATTGAAAATTATGTATCAGAAATGGCCTTTACACAGAGGTATACGACGTGCAAGTCGTTCACCACCGCCGCGCACTTCTGATGAATCTAGTAATAGTGTCTCTTCGCCTGCCATTAAACAGGTATGGACGGATCGATTTAAAATTACCAATCGAACACTGAATGGAATTGCAGAGATTATGTTATTAGGAAATAATACGATAACGAAAGTGTCCATCATTAAAAACATATATTTACACTCAAATTGAATATTTTTTAAACTGGACTTACACGTACACATTCTCTGCTTCATATGCACATGATATTGAGTTATAGTTTGAAGAAGATTTTTGCTTATTTTTGTTATACCTTTTTTTATTTTTATGGTTTTCCAGATAAAAATTTAAATTCTTTTTCAATTTACGATATATTCTCATTTTGATGGCTTATTTGAAGCACTTCAAATTTGTGACTTTTTTCTATCATTCACGTGTATGTACATTTTTCTACATGTTTTTCAATGTGTCCAAAACGCATAAATACGGCATCGCATAAGGCAGTTAT